AACACTTACACTTACATCACCCTATTTTAGCCTCATAATAATTCTTCCAAGTAATTACTATCCGTTCCTCTTTCCATGTTAAAGGATTCAGTCTCAGAAAAGTGAACTGATTCAGCCTGGAGTTAGTAGAAGAATGATGATTTGAACTGTAAAGTATCTGACTTCAGTTTCATGAAAGGTGGAAGTTCTATGTGATAAATTTGAAGAAATAACATCAAAAACAGTTTTCCTTAAAACAATCAAAACAAAAGAGTGATTATTGAAGAATGTTAATTGATATCTCTGCACTGGTTACTTCTGCCTGATGGTTTAATTATTAGTAGCTTAGTGAGTTTCATTAGAGACCTATTGTGCCGCTGTTGGCAAAACAACACTGGCATCTCATGTTCAATAATTAAAAGCAGGAAAAACAAACATTCTCTTTGGAGCCCTGGATTTATAAATAGCAGTGGTATGTGATTCCTTTAATCAATAACAAGGCTATCTAGCCCAGCTTGGATGATGGAGATGATGGGTCATCCTATCTCTTAATTCCCCTTGTCTGCTCTAAATTTACAAAATCCAGCTGGGCACAGACTGGGCTGGTGGGTAGCCCTCCTATCCTGAGCCCTACCTTTGGGCCACACAGCTATTAGAAGATAATATTCTAAAAAAGGCAACATCATGACTTTCTTATATACATAAAAATATAACATGGACATGTGTGAAAGAAAGAATTGGAAAAGACAATACCATCTGTTCAAAGGGGAAATCAAAGAACCATAAATTGATATGTAGTAAAGGATTATTGAAATGAATTTATAAAGAGATGTTAACTTTTTTTGAGGAATTGAGGGGGAGAATCAAGTAAACTAACACTAGAGAGAATTTATTTGCATCTCTACAACTTACCCTATACAATATTTAAAAAACAATGAAAGGCGAAATTCAGATAAACCTCAAACAAGTGTGCTCTAAATAATGCATACTTTTTCCTTTGGATACATCCAGTTATCTTTCTTGCTTATTCCAAATTTCCTTACACGGTGTGGTGAAAAACATGTGCCTTAAGGTCAAATCAAATTAACTCTACTGCTCCTTTGCTCTAGGTGACCTCTGACAGGTGATTAAATCATCATAAAATAGGGACAGAATACTCATGTTTAGGATGAACATCAAGTTAATAACTAAGAGCTTAACATAGTATCTAACACAGAATAATACTCAGCAAGTGTTCATCCCCACAGGACTTTCCCCCAAACTCGGCAGCCCAGGGACTCCAGAAATCAGTCTCTTCTCGTGGCTGCCAGGAAAGCTGAGTTAGTAAGGTGGACACTGGGCACTCCAGGCCTCTCTGGTCCTTGGCAAAATGATACAAAACCATCTGATCACAGTAAGCCTGGAGCTGAGCTGATATTTAGGAGTGAATATGTAATCAATGCAGTCAGATGCTGTTTTCCTTGGAGAGGAAGAAAGAATAGAGGCAAAAAGAAAGTCAATACCGCTCCAGGGAGCTGTTCAAATCCTCAAAACTGACACACAAGAGATTCAGACCTGGGGAAGAGGCACACAGGAAAGAAAGAGTCTAAGGACTTCCCTTGTGGTCTAGTGTTAAGACTCCACCCTTCCAATGCAGGGGGCACGGGTTCCATCAATGGGCAGGGAAATTTCACATGCCAAGAGGCAAAAAAAAAAAAAAAAAATTAAAGTCTGTTTGATGTGTTAATCTGTTAACTCTGGCTTTGCTACTTGTCAATTGTCACTGATATTATTTCATTCAGCAAACACATAGGACACTGTGGGAGGTAGTACAGCCAGTGGAAATTGCCCCTGATGCTATTTCATTCAATAGACACATTGATCATTGACCACAGGACATCATGGGAAATGGTGCAGCCAGTGGTTCTGATCACAGGCACTGGAATCAGGCAGACGTAGGATGAAATCCTAACTCGGCCACTGACTAGTTTGGTGATCTTGGGTGATTTCAGTCACCTCCTTGGCCTCGTGTTCCTCCTTAGTAAAAAGAGATTAACAATAGCAATTTACATAAAGTATTATTTTCAGGATTAATGAGATAATATTTTTGTTGGGCTTAGCAAGTCAATGAACATCAAATAGTAGTTAAAATAATAAAGGTCAAGAGAAAAGTTGTGTCCACGCTGTCCTGTGTTACACTAGTTAAGAAGTACTTACCAACCAAGCTGTTGACAGACTTTAAAAACAAAGGTAAAGAGAACTAAACTGAGGAGAAGCTTCATCACCTGTGCACATCCAGTGCACTAGTCCTGGGACTCAGATAGGATTCCTCAGCCAGTCAGAGGAGGTATGACCACAGATATGCAGCCTGAATCCACTTTAGGCCAGCCTAGTAGTAGTAAAAGTGATGGCTGTTCAATCGTGTCCGACTCTTTGCAACCCCATGGACTATAACCCACCAGGCTCCTCTGTCCATGGGATTCTCCAGGCAAGAATACTGGAAGGTTGCTATTCCCTTCTCCAAGGGATCCTCCAACCCAGGTATAGAAGTCACGTCTCCTGCATTGCAGGCAGATTCTTTACTATCTGAGCAACCAGAGAAGCCTCTGGGCCAGCCTATGTGTTCCAAATGTGCATACAGGAACTATGGACGATACTGTCCTTGAAAATTGGTCACAACTAGAAAGTGAGTATAGTTAGAGGCAGTGATACTGCCTTGTGCCCCTATGTGAATCCCAAACCATTAGTCCTCTCCGAAAAATACTATTTTTGCTCTCACTCTACTAAATCAACACTGAGGAGCATTCCACAAAGATGTCAGCTGGCAGGAGTTTCCCACGCTCTCCTCTCATCAGAGAGAGGATATTAAGGGAGAAAGCAGCGTGTTCTCCTCTGCCTGCCTCTCACTTGCATGTGAATCACGTGTGCTTCCTTCTGGAACTTCCTAATACGTAGATTTCATCCTTTTACCTAAGGGCTGTACTCCCGCCCTGCTACCCTCAATTACTGACGAGTGAGTCTGTGTAACAGAGATTCTGAGAGCTTATTAACACTGACCAATAGCTGTGAAAAGAAGAGAAGCGAAAAGCAAAGGAGAAAAGGAAAGAGATTCACATTTGAATGCAGAGTTCCAAAGAATAGCAAGGAGAAATAAGAAAGCCTTCCTCAGTGATCAGTGCAAAGAAATAGAGGAAAACAATAGAATGGGAAAGACTAGAGATCTCTTCAAGAAAATTAGAGATACCAAGGGAACATTTCACACAAAAATGGGTTCAATAAAGGACAGAAATGGTATGGACCTAACAGAAGAAGATATTAAGAAGAGGTGGCAAGAGTACACAGAAGAACTGTATAAAAAAGATCTTCATGACCCAGATAATCATGATGATGTGATCACTCACCTAGAGCCAGACATCCTGGAATGTGAAGTCAAGTGGGCCTTAGGAAGCATCACTACGAACAAAGCTAGTGGAGGTGATGGAATTACAGTTGAGCTATTTCAAATCCTGAAAGATGATGCTGTGAAAGTGCTGCACTCAATATGCCAGCAAATTTGGAAAACTCAGCAGTGGCCACAGGACTGGAAAAGGTCAGTTTTCATTCCA